GGGTTAGTGGTTCTGTTGTGTGGTATGTGGTTGTTGGTGAGTATTTGCTTCAGGTTGCGGGGCTGTCTGTAGGCAAGGACTGGCCTGTCTCCCAAGATTTGTGAGAGTGTTGGGTCATCTTTTAGGATAGGTTGTAGATCCTTAATAATGCACGATCCATCGTCTACAGCCAAGCTCTGCGATACAACCGCATTTGCTCCAACCCCTCAGACAGAGACAAACACCTACAAGATCTCTGTCAAGCTTTCTTACAACTACAATACCCACCTGCAGAAGTAAAGAAACAGATTGATAGAGCCAGAAGAGTTCCCAGAAGTTACCTACTACAGGACAGGCCTAACAAAGAAAATAACAGAACGCCACTAGCCGTCACCTTCAGCCCCCAACTAAAACCCCTCCAACGCATCATCAAGGATCTACAACCTATCCTAAAGGATGACCCAACACTCTCACAAGTCTTGGGAGACAGGCCAGTCCTTGCCTACAGACAGCCCCGCAACCTGAAGCAAATACTCACCAACAACCACATACCACACAACAGAACCACTAACCCAGGAACTTATCCTTGCAACAAAGCCCGTTGCCAGTTGTGCCCACATATGTATTCAGGGGACACCATCACAGGGCCTAATAACATCAGCCACACTATCAGAGGCTCGTTCACCTGCACATCCACCAATGTGATATATGCCATCATGTGCCAGCAATGCCCCTCTGCCATGTACATTGGTCAAACTGGACAGTCTCTACGTAAAAGAATAAATGGACACAAATCAGATGTCAAGAATTATAACATTCATAAACCAGTCGGAGAACACTTCAATCTCTCTGGTCACGCAATCACAGATATGAAGGTCGCTATCTTAAAACAAAAAAACTTCAAATCCAGACTCCAGCGAGAAACTGCTGAATTGGAATTCATTTGCAAATTGGATACTATTAATTTAGGCTTAAATAGAGACTGGGAGTGGCTAAGTCATTATGCAAGGTAGCCTATTTCCCCTTGTTTTTTCCTACCCCCCCCCGATGTTCTGGTTTAACTTGGATTTAAACTTGGAGAGTGGTCAGTTTGGATGAGCTATTACCAGCAGGAGAGTGAGTTTGTGTGTGTATGGGGGTGGGGGTGTGTGTGAGAAAACCTGGATTTGTGCTGGAAATGGCCCACCTTGATTATCATGCACATTGTAGGGAGAGTGGTCACTTTGGATGAGCTATTACCAGCAGGAGAGTGAGTTTGTGTGTGTGGTTTTTGGGAGGGGGGGTGAGGGGGTGAGAGAACCGGGATTTGTGCAGGAAATGGCCCAACTTGATTATCATGCACATTGTGTAAAGAGTTGTCACTTTGGATGGGCTATCACCAGCAGGAGAGTGAGTTTGTGTGTGGTGGGGTGGAGGGTGAGAAAACCTGGATTTGTGCTGGAAATGGCCCAACCTGATGATCACTTTAGATAAGCTATTACCAGCAGGACAGTGGGGTGGGAGGAGGTATTGTTTCATATTCTCTGTGTGTATATAAAGTCTGCTGCAGTTTCCACGGTATGCATCCGATGAAGTGAGCTGTAGCTCACGAAAGCTCATGCTCAAATAAATTGGTTAGTCTCTAAGGTGCCTCAAGTACTCCTTTTCTTCTTATTAGTTTAGATGTGTGAATGAGGTATGCATGGATAATGGAATCAACCTCCAGCCCCAGCCTGTCCTGATAAAGTTAAGTGCAAATACCAATGGCTGAAGATGCAGACAAGAGCCCTAACAAAGTGAGAAGAGTCCACCCCAAAAGAAAAGAACAAAGGTGAAATTGAAACAAGATCAAAGTCAGGTCCCAGGCTGAAAGTCAGGTCTGCAATTGACAGGTGACCAATCACACCGAACCCAGAGACAGCATGACACAGCAAGACCAAGAGACTCTTGATTCAAACTAAAGCCTACAAAAAGGATGGGTGAGATGGAAGATTTTGGGTAACGTTCTGCTGCCAACAGCAAATAGCATCGGTGCATGTCCAACAGAGACCCAGCCCTTCCTTGTGCCCGGCTTTCCTGGCCAGTTAGCCACCACAAGCTACAAACCGAAGCTGTGAAATCAAGCCACGGACTCAAGCTATGTTCAGGACTGGTTACTATACAGCAGCTGCAGAACATTTGGGGTGTGGGTGTGTGTATATAGGTATTAGACATTAGTTAGTGGTCATTAATCAAACTGTGCTATCATAACACACGTCTCCGAGGCCCCTGGGCGGGGTGGGGGTTGGAGGTCCCCGTGTGCTGCTCCCGCCACGAGTGCCATCTCTGCAGCTCCGAGGGGCCGGGAACTGCTGCCAATGGGAGTTGCAGTGGCACTGCCTGCAGGTGAGGGCAGCGTGCGGAGGCCACTGGACACCCCTGTGCCTAGGGGCTGCAGAGACATGCTGGCCACTTCTGGGAGCTGCCTGAAGTAAGCACCACCCACACCCCCTGCACCCCCTCCTGTGCCCTCTCCCACATCTCCTCCTGCACTCCAAACCCCTCAGCCCCAGCCCGGAGCCCCCTCCTGCACCCGAACTCCTCCTCTCCAGCCCCACCCCAGAGCCCGCAGCCCTGGCCGGAGCCCTCACCCCCCTGCACCCCAACCCATCATCCCTGGCCCCACCTCAGAGCCCACACCCCAAGCCCAGAGCCCCCTCCCACACCCTGAACCCATTTCAGGCCCCACCCTAGAGACCGCAACCCCCAGCTGGAGCCCTCAACCCCTCCCGCACCCCACCGCCCTGTCCCAGCCCCCTGAAAGTCTAAAGGGAGCGAGGGTGGGGGAGAGCAAGCGATGGGGGAGGGGAAGGAGTGAGTGGGGGGCGGGGTCTCAGGGAAGGGGGCGGGGCAAGGGGGTTTGGTGTTGTGCAATTAGAAAGCTGGCAACCCGCGGCCTCCCTGCTGGCAGCACTGGCTCCAAACTGTGGGCACTGCCCCGCCCGCCCGGCCCGGCCCCCTCCTCAGCCGAAGCCGCGGCCCCAGGCTCCGAGAGGCCCCCCCGGCCGCCGCTGAGGCCCTGGCGGGGCGGCTGATCGCGGCTACGCCGGTAACCGGACTTTGCGTGCCCGCTGAGCGGCCCCTGCCCGGTGAAAAACCGGGCACCGGCAACCCTCACTCAGAGCAGGGGCGGGGAGCCAGGACACTGGGGCGCCGCGGCGGCCTCCGCCTCTCAGGCCTCTGCCCCCCAAGCCTACAGAGGTGGCGCTCTGGTTCGTCTCTATGGTGCTGGGGGAAGGGCACTCTGGTTCGTCTCTATGGTGCTGCAGCTGCACGGCCCCCAGGGAGGCGCGGCGCTCTGGCACGTCTCTATGGTGGCATCGTCGGAGCGGCGCTCTGGCGGGCACGTCTCTATGGTGCCATGGGAGCGGCGCTCTGGCGGACTCTATGGTGCTGTGGGGCGGCGCTCTGGCCATCGTAGTCAAGGCTCCTGTCTACAGAAAGCCGCGGCGGCTCCTCGGCTCTCCCAGCTCCCGGGAGCGCCCTGCCCCTCGTGGAACTACATCTCCCATCACACCGTGCGGCCCCGTTCTCGCGCGGTGCGTGAGGTCCCGCCTGTTCTCGCGAGATTTCTGGCTCCTATCTTTCCCGTGATCCCTTGCGGGGCCGCGCTCAGCGGAGCTGGCTGAAGGTGAGTGGGTCCGCGCGTGCGCGTGGTGTCGTCATTACGTTCCGATGTGACGTCAACCCGCGAGGATGGGCGGTCGCCGCGGTGATGCGGGTCTAGGGCTTAGCGCGGGAGTTGGACTGTGTTGCCATAACAATGCGCGATGACGTGTTCCCGCCACAAAATGGAGTCACAGGGTGACGTAAGCGCCGCTGCCGTGACGTGAGCAGGCACTGGCGGGGGGGTGTCTGGCGATCACGTGGGGATTTGGGGGCGGGTGTGGGGAGAGGCTGGGGGGAGGGGCGCAGGGTTAGGCGGGGGGAGGGGGCGGGTGTGGGGAGAGGCTGGGGCAGGGTTAGGCGGGGGGAGGGGGCGGGTGTGGGGGGGGGGGGAGGGGGGGTGGGGGGGAGGGGGCGGGTGGGGAGAGGTGGGGCAGGGTTAGGCGGGGGGAGGGGGCGGGGGTGGGGGGAGAGGCTGGGGGAGGGGGCAGGGTTAGGCGGGGGGAGGGGGCGGGTGTGGGGAGAGGCTGGGGGGAGGGGGGCAGGGTTAGGCGGGGGGAGGGGGCGGGTGTGGGGAGAGGCTGGGGGAGGGGGCAGGGTTAGGCGGGGGGAGGGGGCGGGTGTGGGGGAGAGGCTGGGGGGAGGGGGCAGGGTTAGGCGGGGGGAGGGGGCGGGTGTGGGGAGAGGCTGGGGGGAGGGGGCAGGGTTAGGCGGGGGAGGGGGCGGGTGTGGGAAGAGGCTGGGGGGAGGGGGCAGGGTTAGGCGGGGGAGGGGGCGGGTGTGGGGAGAGGCTGGGGGGAGGGGGCAGGGTTAGGCGGGGGAGGGGGCGGGTGTGGGGAGAGGCTGGGGGAGGGGGCAGGGTTAGGCTGGGGGAGGGGGCGGGTGTGGGGAGAGGCTGGGGCAGGGTTAGGCTGGGGGGAGGGGGCGGGTGTGGGGAGAGGCTGGGGGAGGGGGCAGGGTTAGGCGGGGGGAGGGGGCGGGTGTGGGGAGAGGCTGGGGGGAGGGGGCAGGGTTAGGCGGGGGGAGGGGGCGGGTGTGGGGAGAGGCTGGGGGGAGGGGGCAGGGTTAGGCGGGGGAGGGGGCGGGTGTGGGGAGAGGCTGGGGGAGGGGGCAGGGTTAGGCGGGGGAGGGGGCGGGTGTGGGGGAGAGGCTGGGGGAGGGGGCTGGGGGGAGGGGGCGGGTGTGGGGAGAGGCTGGGGCAGGGTTAGGCTGGGGGGAGGGGGCAGGTGTGGTGAGAGGCTCAGCTGAAGCTAGGTTTATCCATTGTAAATGCCTGGTGATGAGGCGAGTTAGTAGTTGCGCTGGCAGAAGAATTACTCTGGATGCTGCCAGGGTGGGAAGGTGACTGGGAGTCATGGGCTGGAATGGAGAAAAGGGAAATTAAGGGTAAAATATCAAAGAAAATCTCCCTAGTGTATCAGTGACAAGCATGTAAACCCATCTCCTAAGGCAGTGGTTCGCAACCTTTCCACACTACTGTTCCCCTTTCAGCAGTCTGATTTGTCTTGCGTACCCCCAAGTTTCACCTCACTTAAAAACTACTTGCTCACAAAATCAGACATAAAAATACTGAAGTGTCAGTGCACACTATTATTGAAAAATTGCTTACTTTCTCACTTTTACCATAATGTTATAAAATAAATTGGAATATAAATAATGTACTTACATTTCAGTGTATAGTATATAGAGCAGTATAAGTAAGTCATATGAAATTTTAGTTTGTACTGACTTTGCTAGTGCTTTTTATATAGCCTGTTGTAAAACTAGGCAAATCTCTAGATGAGTTGATGTACCTCCTGGAAGACCTATGTGTACCCCCAGGGCTAAGCATCCCCCTGGTTGAGAACCACTGTCCTAAGGGAAGGGACGGGAACCCCATTAGGACATTACAAACTAGCTGTGTAAATGGACTGTAGGGGACCATTGTGCCATGGCCCATGGAGGAGGACTGTAGCAAAACAGCAGTAAATTCTCTCTTTAGATCTCAGTAATAGCTGGGAACAAGCTTTCAGCTCAGCTCTGTTGTTATGTATGTCCAACTCGCTCCCTGCAGTGATAGTTCTGTTTCACTTGAAGTCAGGGCACGGGCTAAAGGAGCCTCAAAGTTGCACTGACTGCCAGACTGTGACTGCTAGTAGATACAGCCTTGTATTGCAAAGATCCTCAGTCTCACTGCTCTGGGACTTCTGTGAAAAACACATCCTGTGTTCAAGTCTCCTGGGGACAGACGCTTTCAGCTTGGATCAACCCTCATTGTCCAGCATCCCCCTATGCTTAACGAAATATGGAAACAACTCAAATTGGTGACGGAGCTAAAGCCTGGATGAGTTTGGGTGTCAGGCAGTAGTATAGGGAGGGGAAGTGCACTTTCTCTTTGTAGATTCAAGGGTTTAGTTGTTCTCATTGTGGTTCAACTGTGTCAATCAATGGAGCCATCCAATGGCCTAAGAAGTCTCTCCCTGTGCGTAGAGGGGGTTCTGCTGGAGCACAGTGGCTGGGGAGACCTGGAAGCCATCATGTGGGGGCAGAGCAGGGAAATGGGAGCAGAACCAAACCGTGAGTACTTCTTTGTAAATAACTGCAAACCAAGAGAGTGCTGAAAGCCAGTTCTACGCAGATGGTCTAAGCCTGCTTCCCAGTGTCACCCTTTTTGACCTAAGTGGTTAGCTGATATCTGGGGACTTGTGGGTTGTTTCTGTTAAGAGCAATTGATGATGGAATCAGGCATTTCTTTGATGCAACCCTATTTATCTACAAAGAATATGCAAAGTCCTGTCTCCATGAACACAGCAGGAATCAAACAATAGGAGAGAGCTTCTTTGCTCATGGTTCTAAGCCCCTTTCCAGCTAGCACTCTGCCCAAGAGCTTTCTCTTATGCTCATGCTACAAATGCTTCTCTGTCTGTCTCTGGTGCTTCCCTGCTGCCTTCTCTGTGTGCCTCTGTGGTATTTCTGGCTGCTTCTCTCCACATGCATGCACAGCTACATCATCCTTGCTCAGCTCCTTGCATATGGCCTGTGTTTTGGGTGGTGGCTCCTATTGTTTCAGCCATCTTATTCCATAAAGGAATTAATTGTTTCTTACATTTATCCTGAATGAAGGGCAGCTATTACGCCCACCCGCTTCAAGTGCCCACCCAGCCCCCAGCACAGCATTGGGCACTAGCTCTGGGCACTGTGGGATGGAAAAGCCCATCAACACCCCCACATCAAGAGGCTGTCACATGTATGCCTTGGAAATGTGTGTCCAGTTTTGGGCCCCACACTACAAGAAGGATGTGGAAAAATTGGAAAACATCCAGCGGAGGGCAACAAAAATGATTAGGGGAATGGAACACATGACTTATGAGGAGAGGCTGAGGGAACTGGGATTCTTTAGTCTGCGGAAGAGAAGAATGAGGGGGGATTTGATAGCTGCTTTCAAGTACCTGAAAGGGGGTTCCAAAGAGGATGGCTCTAGACTGTTCTCAGTGGTAGCAGATGACAGAACAAGGAGTAATGGTCTCAAGTTGCAGTGGGGGAGATTTAGGTTGGATATTAGGAACAACTTTTTCACTAGGAGGGTGGTGAAACACTGGAATGTGTTACCTAGGGAGGTGGTGGAATGTCCTTCCTTAGAAGCTTTTAAGGTCAGGCTTGACAAAGCCCTGGCTGGGATGATTTAATTGGGGATTGGTCCTGCTTTGAGCAGGGGGTTGGACTAGATGACCTCCTGAGGTCCCTTCCAACCCTGATATTCTATGATAGTGCTTTCTGGGTGGATAAAGCAATGGTTTCCATGTATGTCTTTATGTGTGTGGGTTGAGGATCACCATTGCTTGTCTCACCTGTCACGGGTGGGTCAGGAGTGGTCCTTCCCCAGTAGTTCTGTGGGAGTGAAGAGAGGGTGTACAGTGGCCCCTGGGTCTCTCCTCTTCTGTGTTTCCTGCAGTGCTAATGTGGAGGCTGGACTCTATCCTGTCCTGCCTCCCTGTCATCTCCCTCCCTGAGCCAAACCTGACCCTGGCTGCTTGCCAGTCAGGAGGCCCCGCAGCACGAGGAGCCCAGCTCTGCTGTCTTTGTAAATAGAACAAGGGGCCAGCGGAGGGATTTCTCTGGTTTTGTTGCAAAGTTCCTGTGCAGTTTTCCTCTCCACACTCCAATGACCCCTCGAGCAAGCTCGGCCTCTTCCCTTCCTTTTGGCTTCTTCATGGGACTGGGATACACACACAGGGCTTCCCGGTGTAGGCTGGGCAGTGCCTCACTTGTTTCAGGTGAGAGTGTGGCTTACTGACGAGAGCTGGGGACTGAAAGTCAGGATGCCTGGGTTCCAAACTCAGCTCTGCCCTGATTTCCTGAGTAGTGCTGGCCAAGTAATTTCCTGTGCCTCAGTTTCCCCATCTGTAAATGGGGCATGATTCTCTTTGTGCCGCAGAGGTCCGAGTGCCTGATTCTGCTGTCATGCTGACTGTACGCTGCTGGAACTCCTGCGGTTACCCCCGATCCTCACCGGGGTGAGATCAGCACAGGCTCCTAGTCTGGTGCACTACTCCAGTTGCCAGGAAAGGTTGAGAACCACTGATCCAAATGAAAAAAGAACAGGAGGACTTGTGGCACCTTAGAGACTAACCAATTTATTTGAGCATGAGCTTTCGTGGGCTACAGCCCACTTCATTGGATGCATAGAATGGAACATATAGTAAGAAGATATACACATACAGAGAACATGAAAAGGTGGAAGTAGCCATACCAACTGTAAGAGGCTAATTAATTAAGATGAGCTATTATTAGCAGGAGAAAAAAAACTTTTGCAGTGATAATCAAGATGGCCCATTTAGACAGTTGACAAGAAGGTGTGAGGATACTTAACATGCTCCAAATGAGCTTCCTTAACTGCTTTCTCTCTTACCAGCCGAGTAGAATCATAGAATATCAGGGTTGGAAGGGACCTCAGGAGGTCATCTAGTCCAACCCCCTGCTCAAAAGCAGGACCCATACCCAATTAAATCATCCCAGCCAGGGCTTTGTCAAGCCTGACCTTAAAAACTTCTAAGGAGTACTGAGAATGGTTCTGCCTAGTAGGCTCAGAGACTCACCAAGAGCTGCCACAGCACTAATGGAGCTGGCGGAGGTGGTGGTGGTGGGGGTCTTTTATTAGAATTTGTGGCCCAATACATCTGGGGGTGCAGCAGAGGAGATGGGTGTGGAAGTCCCTCAGCCACTCCCAGTCACCAGTGTCTAACTGGCCTGATGGCACTTGGCATGAAACTTCTTGCCAGTCTTTGCCTGGGACTTCTTCCCCGGCACTACCCCTAGGCTGCATAGCTTAGTTGGTCTCCGTAGTGCCCTCCTGTTCCTTGCATGCTCTAGAGAACCAGGAGGAACATGGATTTTAAAGCATCTGAAGGCGCTGAAGTTCAAAGCCTGTTTTCTCAGCTCAGATTCTGATCTGTGATTATGCAACATTTCCCAGCGAGTAGCTTTCCTGCAGGGTGCTGTGTCCTTCCAGCATGAGCCTGGGGTAAACGTTTCCCTTCAAAGCAGAGCATTTGGGCACAGATGAAGATGAAAGTGCAGAAAGCTCCACACACAGAGGTAGAAGAGACAACAAGTGTTCAGTAAATGCTCCCGCCCCAGAAAAGTGGAACTAACTGCGTTTGCAATGTAAAGCGGGTGCTCTGCCCACTAGGCACTCGTGACAGCACTCCAGGATTAGCTATAGCAAGGCTCCTCTGCTGCCCAGGGAGAAAAATAACTGGAGAGGAGATTGGAGGTAACTGAGACCCATCAAAGATTCCTCCCTCATTACTATGGACATCCGGGGCGCACACAACAGTTCAGTTAAAGTGCAGGGTAAGCATGGGTCCGGGAGCCAGGACCTCCTGAGTCTGAGTCCCATCTCTGATACTCACTAGCTGCAAGGCCTGGGGAAAGTTACTGGGTAGGCTAACGATGGTCAAGCGCTTTGGAAATGGGACATTCTGTCAGCGTGCAGGGCCAGGCACTGGGAGGCATGCAGCTCTCGTGACTTCAGTGGGGAGCTGATAACCAGCCCCTCCAAAACTCAGGGGCTGAGTGCAGTTGTCATGCACATCAGACTTAACCCTTTATGTGCTAGGTAGTCAGAGTTGGAACACACGCAAACAATGGCTACTTTGTAAAGGTTTGGCAGGGGGCTGTAGTGTATGAATCAGGGAGGGTTTCTGGCAGCTTCGGATGAGGGGTGGGGCTCTTGTCTGGAGTGCTGCCATTCTGTACATCCCGTTCCCCCAGTCCTGCATTCTGTGCTGGTCCCCCTTTCTCAAACAAGATAGTGCAGTGATAGGAAGGGGATAGAGGTGGAGCTGAGGCTGGGAGAGATTGAAAAGACTGGGACATTTCAGTGTAGAGAGGAGGAGACAAAGAAATGACTGGATAGACACGTGAATCAGGGGCTCTCATTTATCACTGGCTGCACTACACGAACAAAAAGGGCCATTCAATGACGTTGAAAGGCAGCACATTTAAAACTCATTAAAGGAAGTAATTGGTGCATAATTCACCTGTAGAACTCTCAGCCGCAGGATAGCACTAAGGCCAGGAATTGCTGAATTTTGAAACAAATGATGAGATGAGGGGAAATCCAGGTCTGCCGATTTGCAGTCTGCATTCCTGCTTCTTGCAGTGCTACCCTTCAGGGCTGTGGGTCTAGCTGAGTTGGTGGGCTGGGATAAAGGGACCCTGCTTTCACTGTTATCACTGACTGGAGAGGGACAGGCTATCTTTAAGCTGTACCAGAGGCTGCTGGGAACTGTAGTTTTCTCTCCCCTCCCCCATTGTGTACTGTGAAGCAGGCTAGGCAGCACTCACGTATGGTAGCATCCTCTCGGCAGCATGGACTACAAGTCCCAGTAGTGCTGAGCGGGCTGGGGAAGTTTGCAATAACAGGGGTTCTGTGAATTCAATACAGAGCCTGGGCTTAGCTGAACTCTTTCCCTAAGATGGCTGGAGGGAGGTGGGATGAAAGCGTTGGTCAAGTCTCTCTCTGAGCAGCTTCTCAGCCTTTGTGTTGTGCCTCTCTCCTGTCCCCAGCCCCCGTTTATTAGCGCTACTTGCTGTCAGTGCAGGGATCTGCAGCAGCCACTCGAAGAAGCTGTGAGAAGAGACGATTCGAGTTGCCAATCCTAGTAAAAGGTGAAGGGACAGGATCTCGTCCTCACATCCTCCACACAGGATCCACGTCATCTTCCACCGAGTCCTCTCCGATGGGAAAGTGTCTGCAGGGGGTGCTGCCCAGGTAGGCTGCAGCTGTGGGACTGCAGGGTGCCACAGGCTTGCCTGTCTGCTTGCTTTCTTGTGCGCACACATTGCGGACAGGAAGGGGTTAATTCTGATCTCTATTTCCTCCCCCTCCCCCCATCACAGAAGAGAGGCAGATGGTGCTATGGTGGGCAGGGGCAGCCTTTGATTCCTTGTTGCTCTGTGAGGGTTTTGTGGTGGTGTCTGGGGGAGTTGGAGACCTAACAATGTGTCACCCCATTTCTTGTTGTTTTGTGCCCTCATTTACACTCCTGGCTGAGCTCCCTGCCCCTTGGGGACAGTAACTGGGCTGCTGTAATAGACCGAGAACTTGGATTCCATGGGCTGTTCACCCTGCTGAGCCTGAGCAGTGTCTAGACCATGTCCATATGCCTGGCACGCTTCTGGGGTACCAACCCCGTCTGGTACCCCCTCCTGGAGGTGTGGAACCCTGCGGGCCAGTTGCCCTAGGCCCCAAGACCGGTGCTGATTCCCCAAGTCTTCCCAGTATTTAAGCTCTGTCTGCCCGGGCACTCTGGTTTACAGGTTAACCCTGGAGGGACTTTGTTACAGTTAAAGCAAGTAACACAGACATTGCAAAAGTATTTCTGAACTACACATACCTCACTCATACCCAGAGCACAAGGGATATACAGAGCTATGGAGAAGTACCAAACCACTGCATGCAAGAGCCTGCCTCAGTTTCCTCACCTTTCCTGAGAGTCACTGTCCTTCTGGGAGACCAGGATCCTTCTGTGCCCCCTCTCCTGTTGCCCAGCTTTCTCTTTGGTTCTGGGTTCCATTAGCTAGAGACCTTAGCGACAGTAAGGAATACAGCTTGACTGTTTTCCTGGGAGGCAGAATATGGTGTATCCCCGATTCACGGATGGGGAAACTGAGGCACAGCAGAGGAAGCGACTTGTGCACAGTCACACAGTGAATCAGTGGCAGAGCTGGGCGTAGAACGCCAAGTCCCCTGCTCCAGCCGCTTCTCCCCCGTGTGCGATGCTGCCAGTCAGCAGTTTGTTCACGGGCGTGTCCCCTGTCCATTCCCACCCCAGCTATCCCAAGCTCCTTCCTCCAGACAGAGCCTTCTGCTCTCTGCCATGTCACCTGTTGCACGGTAGGCAGGAGCCGTGGTCCCACCAGCCAGCCACCAATATTGTACTCAGCCATGTCGCCCGGTACAAGTGCCTGGCACACCCAGACTGTTCTCCTGTTTCGGCCAGCACACAATGGCCTTGCCCAGTAGACTGGGGTGGGTGACGGCTGTGCTGCTGCAGCAGCAGTGCTAAGTGGGGGCAGCTTCTTGTTGCAGGTGCCGGTGACGTCTGAGGACGGCAGGGTCTGTTTCTCCCCGGTGGAGTGGGCGGCGTTAGTGGAGTGGCAGAGGGAGCTGTGCGAGCTGGTCACCTCGCTGGGTGAGGACTGTGTCTGGTGCACAAGTTAGAGGTGAGATGCCAGGCAGTAAAAGGGGAACATGTGAGGGGCTGGAGAGTGCTGATGTAAAAATAACTCTTTGGGCGGGGCTCAGCTGTCTCACTGTTTGAGGAGCTGTTACCTTCTCCTCCAAATCTCTTTGCAAGAGTCTGCTTCCTGAAACCAGAGCTGGTACTGCTGATGCATGGGACAAAGCTCTTCCCTCCAGCCCCTAGACGACAGTGTCACTAAACTCGCTGCCCGCCTCACTCTCTCTTTCAGAAGAGAAGCAAGACCAGCCTGTGCTCTCCCAGCAGGATCTGGGAGCCAGGAGCGGAGGGAAACTGTACTGGGGCTGCCAGGAGCCAGGCTCTGGACTTCCTAGTGGCTTCACTTTGCAGCCTTCCCTGGCAGGGCAGAGGGCTGCTCCCTGGCTGCAGTGGGTGGCTCTGGGTGTGACCGTGAGGGGTGCTGGAGAGGCTCACTCTCTTTGTGATGTACATGGCTGGTTGGTGGGGCAGCAGGAGCGCCCTGCCCCCTCCTCATTCTTCCCTCCCCTCCTCAGGGGCCTCGGTGCAAGCAGCTCCACGGGGAAGAGCGATCATGCTGGGCCCCTGGTGGAGCGCAGGCTCAGGTGTTGCCTGTTGCAGGGTCTGAGAGCCCCATCCCCCACACAAGGCAGCTGGCCCTGCGGCTGGGTGTAGCCATGTCTGAAGAGTCGCACCCATCAAAGGAGGGGGCCGGATGGCACCGCGAACTGGAGATGGGCTGTGGAACCTTTTCTCGCGGCGCCACCAATTCAAATCCAGGTCAGTGCTGCTCCAAAGTCATTGCCATCTGAGCCTCTTTGGAGACCCTCATGAAATTATTTGGAGGGCCTGGGTCCACTTTCTTAGGGCACCTCCTAAAATCCACCCCCAGCCTGGCCCTGTTGCTGTCCATCTTGCATGGCACACTGGCGGTTGAGTGGGCAGTGGAGACTTATTCCTCCCTGCCCCCATGGGCGCTAGAGGTGCTGGGTATGATTATGCCATTTTCTATTCTCCGCTCTCTGACTGTAGCTGTGCTCTAAACAGCCATGTCCCTCCACCCAGCGCCAGCTAGCAGTGCAGCGGGGCCAGAGTCGGTGTGATGCTGAAGGCCCTGGCTCCTGTTGACTTCAGTGCGGGCAGCAGTGGTCGAGCACCTGCTAACAGGAATATTTTCCCCCCCGAACCAGGCCACCCAGCTCTCAAACCTGATCTCTTGTTCCGGATTGAACGAGGGGAACCCCCAGGTGTTGGGGTTCAGCTGGTCTCTGGTGGCTTAGAGCGTCCGCCAGATCCCTGCGCAGGTGAGTGCTCAGCACAACAGCTAGTTAGCAGCACGCGAGGTCGAGAGAAGCAGATGAAACTGCCATTGGCGTAATTCTTTCATGTCTTTACTCACTTAGTTCAAATTAAATAGAATTTGCTAGAGTTTCAGGGGACGCGTCCATCGTGGTTTTGCACCAGTACTAAATGACATCTGGCTGTCGCCCCTCCCTTTCGATTGAGCGGTTCAGGGAGGATTAGTGGACAAGGCAAAGGACAAGTTTAGGCTCCCGGTTTCTAATCCCAGCTCTGCCACTCTGACCCACTGTGCAAATTTGGGTCAGGCCACTTAACCTTCCTGGACCTCAGTTTTTCCCTCAGTACAGTGTGGCTAGTGATCCAGATTTTCCTCCCAGGAGACAGGCTGGAGATGTGATTCATTAACACATGTTACAGGCTTTGAGAGTCTGGGTTGAAAGACACCAAAAAAGAACAAAGTATTTTTATGAACATTTGGAAGATACGTTGAAAGCTCACTGTTTTCCTGGCCAGATGTGCTCTCCTCTGTCTGCCAGTCACCCCCAGGACAGTGGAGAGGAAAAGGAGGGCTAGCCAGGGAGCTTGATGGTGTGTTGATTGTATTGTCCGGTATCTTTAATTCCACATTTGGCAGTAGAGGCTTAGAATAAAGAAAAAGGTTCCCCTGGGACTCAGGTTAATTATATGATTTGTGAAGTAGCATATGCATCGTCTCCAGCACAGTGGTGTTGTCACTGGATGTGCCTAACCATACATGGTGACATCCTCTATCCCCTCAACCAGGCTATGGATTTTTCAAGCCCGATGGTTTATTCCATATTGAGCAATGGGAGGAGCGATATATCGAGGCTCAGCAGAAACTGGAGGAGAGCAAGATCCCCGGAAGTGCCTGCGTAGGTGAGTGAGAGCAGCAATTTGTTCTGCTCTGGGCTCCCCTTCCAGCGGAGGCTGAGATCAGCACAGGGAGTGGTTTGCTGGACCTGTTGTCTCAAGGGGCTGCAGCTCCATAGCAAAGATGAGGACAGCAGCAGTCTGCTCTGCTTTATGCCAGTTAGCTGCGGCCTCTGCTGTTCTTGCAGGCTGCCAGTGCAGCCTCAGCTGGGTACAGTCTGGGTCCAGCCTTATGAGCTGCTCATTTCTGTAGAGTTTTACGAATGGCAAGGAAAGCCCATGAGTTAATGCCTTCACTTTCTCTTTGCAATCCAGCAGAGCATGGGGGTGTGAACACAGTGGAGCAGGAAGAGAACTCTGAGAGCTTTGCTGCAGACTTAGAGCTGTCCCCCGTGGTCTGTGACCTTTCTGATGGCTCGTTTCACAGTCGGCAGCTGGTGTCCAAGAGTCAGCAGAGAAACCAGACCAGGATCAAGATGGAGGAATCAGCTGGCTTCAGCAAGTGTTCAGATGCCGTCGTATGCCAGCTAGGGGCTGGGCCTTTCCAGTGTGCTGAGTGCGGGAAACGCTTCCGCCAGAAGCAGAGCCTCATCACGCATGAGAGAATCCACACAGGAGAGAAGCCCTACAGGTGTCCAGACTGCGGGAAGAGCTTCAGCCAGAAGCCCAACCTCCTGACTCACCGGCGGATCCACACCGGGGAGCGGCCCTTCTCCTGCACGCAGTGTGGGAAGAGCTTCAGCCAGAAGGCCAATCTCATTGCCCACCAGAGAACCCACGCAGGGGAGAAGCCGCCGCTGTGGGGTGGGCTTGGGGGGAAGCCAAAGTCCCCAGCACGCCAGGGAGACCATGAGGAAAAGCGGCCGTTCGTATGCCCCGAGTGTGGGAAAAGTTTCACGCAGAAACCCAACTTGGTGACTCACTACCGGACCCACACGGGTGAGCGGCCCTTCAGCTGTGCCCAGTGCGGGAAGAGCTTCAATCAGAAGACCAACCTGGTGACTCACTACAGGACCCACACTGGGGAGCGGCCCTACGCCTGCCCCCAGTGCGGGAAGCGTTTCACCCAGAAGACCAACCTGGTGACTCACCAGAGCACCCACACGGATGTGCGACCCTACCCGTGTGGGGAGTGCCAGAAGTGCTTCAAGGACAAGGTGTCCCTGAAAGCGCACCAGAGAACCCACAGCCTGAGCCAGCCCAGACCCTGTGGGAATCCAGAGCCAATCCCACTCCACGGTCCCCCCGCCATGCCGCTCCAGCCCGCAGGCGCTGAGCAGGAGAGTCAGCGCAATCCTGCTCAGCCGGTGCTAGCCCAGAAGATCCCCGGAAGCCAGGCACCATGCATGTGCACTGACTGCGGTAGCAGCTTCCCGCAGAAACAGCATATCCCACTGCCCCAGCAAACCCCCTCAGCAGAGCAGCCCTTCCTGTGCATGCAGTGTGGGGAAAGCTGCCCACAGGCGGCTCTTCTGAAGCACCAGCCCAGCCATGCCAGGGAGAGGCCCTGTGAGAGCGCCCAGTATGGGAGAGGCCTCAGCCTGAACCAACATCTCCTCAGACACCTGGAACCCTGCCTGGGCCCTGGTGACGCGGCGCACGCGGCCCCTGGGGCAGAGCGGCCCTTCATCTGTAACCATTGCGGAAGCAGCTTTAGCTTTTGGCCGGCTCTCATTGCCCATCAGAGCAGCCATGCAGGATGGCAGCCATATCAGCTTCCTGAACGTGGGAAAGGCCTCAGGCCCCGGCTGTCCCTGCCAGCCCAGCAGGATGTGCAGGTGCGGGAGACAGCCTGGACGTGCCCCGAGTGCAGGCAGAGCTTCAGCCAGCACAGCCAGCTGGCAAAGCACCAGGAAAGCCACGGGGGTGACAGGCCCCATCGGTGTGACGTGTGCGGGAAGAGCTTTGGCTTGAAAGCCAACCTGATGACACACCAGCGGCTCCACACGGGCGAGCGGCCCTTTGCCTGCAGCCAGTGCGGGCGGCGCTTCAACCAGAAGGGGAACCTGGTGACTCACTACCGGACCCACACGGGTGAGCGGCCTTTCTCCTGCCCCCAATGCGGCAAGAGCTTCAGCCAGAAGCCCAACCTCCTTGCCCACCAGAGAACCCATATGGGGCGGCGGCCCTTCGCCTGTGCCCAGTGCCCCAAACGCTTCAAGGGCAAGATGTCCCTGAAGATCCACCAGCGTGTCCACATAGGGGAGAGACCTCCCGCAAGGCCGCTGAGCGTGGATCTGATGGAGGCCCACGCTGGGAAGAGGTACTGTTCCCACTCCCCATGTGGGAAACCCTTCAAGGAGCACATAGCCCTGCAGCTCCCCCAGCGAGTGCCCGGTGGGGAGCGGCCGTACGCCTGCCCGGAGTGTGGGAAATGCTTCCGGCAGAAGGTCACGCTGGTCACGCACCTCCGGACCCACACTGGAGAGCGGCCGTTCCAGTGCACCCAGTGTGGGAGGAGCTTCAGCCAGAAGCCCAACCTCCTCACGCACCAGCGGACTCACACTGGCGAGCGGCCCTTCGCCTGCACCGTGTGCGGGAAGGGCTTCAGCTGGAAGCCCAACCTGGTGACCCATTACCGCACCCACACCGGGGAGCGGCCCTATAGCTGCTCCGACTGCGGGAAGACCTTCAGCCAGAAGCCCAATCTCCTCACTCACCGCAGAACCCACTCCCAGCAGAGACCGTATGCTTCCCCCAGTGCCACGCAAGCTTCCCCCACGGACACCCCTTCACCCTGCGCCGCTGTGGGGACTGGCCCCACGTGCACTTGGCCTGCAGAGGGGGCCTCGGCCACTGTGTCTCCCACGGCAGGGAGCTCCTGAAGCCAAGCAAGCAGAGATGTGGTGTCCGTGCAGCGGGGGTGGCAGGAGCTTGGAAGATCAGAGAGCTCTGTGAGCGAACCCGAGAGCGCCTGCCCCCGGTGTGAGCCAGAGCGAGTAGAGCGTGCACCTGGTTGGCGAGCTGTACAGTGACTGGATCTGGGAACGTGGGGCTAACCCGTGCTGCTGTCGCACCCACGACACCAGACACGGACAGGGGAACGTTACAGCCAGAAGCCAGATCTGACTTCATTCTACACACACCGAACTTCAGAGAGGGCACAGCTCCTGACAGCGGGCAAGCCGGCTGGTTGATCAGCACGCACTGCTGCAGGGTGCGAGGAGACGCCAAGTACTGCTGTGAGCAGAACGAGGGGAGGGCGCAGCAAGCTGGCAGGCCTGGGACCCTGTGGCGAGTGTCCTGGGAAACCCAAACCCTGCAAGAGACTCCCTGGGAGGGAACGGCCCATGGAGCTCTACCCTGTGGCCTCCCTGGAGCTAAACGTGGGGTGGGGGCGGCTCTTGGAAGCTGTGATCCAAACAGAGGTGGAGCCTGGCTAGCCTGGGCGTAAGTTGTACCGAGGGTATTGCTGGGCTCTGGATCCCCCCCCCGAGCCATCTGCAGGGAAGTGAAAGGCCACCTGGGGCTGCAAGCTCCAGCCCCTGTAGAAACAGTTACAGCGTCCCTTTTATTTTCGTGCCTTCCCCCCAGAGTGTCTGCACTTCATGGGGGTCGGGGGGCAGGAGGCCCAGCCCCAGCCCCAGAGAAGGCTGCGGTTGGTCTGAAAGCAGTGGGGGCCCCACGAGGACGAGGTGCCCTTCCTGGGGAGCAGGAAGGAGAAGCTGGGCACTGATGCCCTGGTGGAGGAGGACTGCGTGCTGGGGCAGAGCTCCGCTCGATGGCGTTGATAACTGTAACACGATAACTACGCAGCACTGCTGCCCGTCAGGTCAGAGCTGAAAACCAGAAGGGACAGCCGGGCGACACGGGGAGCCCTGGTACCTGGTTAGCTGAGCCCCCAGCCTCAGCCAGGTGTGTAACTAGCTCCACGGCAGAGAACGGAGGCATGAATAGGTTCCAGCATGATCTCCCAGCTACGCTCGTCCCGTCGTCCCAGCAGGAATGTGGCGACACCATGAATGACATATGTCTCAGGAAGAAAAGAAATACTAATGGCGGGAGGACTGTGTGGGGGGTGGGGCACACACAGAACCCCAGGCAGATTGTGGAGGGCAGAATGGGGGGCACACAGAGCCTCTAGCATGAGGCTGTGGGTTGCAGCAGGGAGCCCCTGTACTAGAGGGGGAGGGAGGGTGGCACCCGGGGAGCTTGGGGGAATGGAGGGACCCCTGGTATGTGTGCTGAGCTTGGCCTGCAGAAGTGACAGCGCGTGTGGTGACCCTCTCGTAAGTCTCTTACATGAAAACGCAGCTAGCAGTCCCCAGGTTGTTACAGCTAAGGGGGTATCCCCTGGGTAGGTCGGTCACTCAGCAATGGGCCAGGCTCTGACAGCTGCCCCCAAAGCCGACCCCAGGGCTGTGCAGTCCCAGGCAGCAGTGGACGTCTGGCTCTCAGGCCTCCCCAGGATCCCTTGTGCTGGCAGCGAAGGCATTGCCTGTCTGTGGATTGCTGCTGCAGGGTGTGGGCGGGACTGAAGCTGCAGATGAGTGAGCAGAGGTGGGGAGGGGACAGCCTGGCCTGTGGGCGTGGCTGGTTGAACAGGGTCGAATGAGGGGAAGGAAGAAGCCAGGGCTGCTTGGGGCAGGGGGTACCAAATCCCGTCTTCACTTAGTGACAGTGAGGTGGGGCCTGTGCTGCGCCATCTCTGCCCGGGCACCAGCCCCTGCTGTCACAAGCACAGGGCTCTGCTTTTCCCACGGGCTGGGGCAGGAGGTTGGGACAGGCTGTGGGAAAGGAGCCCTTTGTGTGACCGTCTCAGACCGGTTCCCGCCAGTCATTGCCAGCCTTGGTCCTGTTGGACAGTCCCAGCACGCAGGCAGAATGGGCCACTGGCCCTGGCCTCCCCTGAGCCCCAGAGGTGGTGATCTGGGGCAGGGTTGGGAGATGTGCGTGCGCACATGTGAAGCTTGCAGGGCCCTGCCGTATCTGCTGACTGGTTCACAGGGCTGCTAGGCCAGCGCCTTTCTCCCGCGCTGACCTTACATAGCTCCCCAGGAGCGCTGGGGGAAGAGGTGGCTACAGAACCCACTGGGGCTTTTCTCTCCTTGTGTTTTGCTACCTGACCACGCTCTCTGTCTCAGTGCTGACATCTCCCGAAGCTTTGGGGCCCCTCCCAGCAGCAGCTGCTGGCTAGGGTGAGAGTGGGCACTTGGATGGGAACAAACGAGCGTGTTGCTTCCTTTCATTCTTGTCTAGCATCTGTAAGTCCCCCCAGCATGCCAGAGAGGCACCGCTGTGCAGCAGGGCCCATGGAGCACGGTGCTATGGAGGGGTCACTGCCCCAGGTGGTGGGTAGTGAAAGGCTGCACACACCCCACAAACAGGATGAGTTGGTAGGGGACTGGGGTGCTTTCACCTTAAAGTACATTTGTGCAAAAGCTGAGAGCCGTGCGCACCCCGTCCCTGCAGCCATCTCCCCGCTCTTCTCTTGCTTGTGGGCATGGAGCCACTTCGTTCCCAGCCACTGAGCCGCACCGGTGAGGACCGCGTCCTGCTCTGGATGTTGGTTAGCGCTGGGCGTGACACGGACTTGTGCCTTCAGAAGAAGTTCTTCAGGGCGGGCACTCTTCCTGCACCAGGGCTCTTGGTGCTATGCTAATACCCACGATAACTGCGTGTGTTTGTACTTGCTGCAGGCCGTGGGCACTCACTAGGTTATAGCAGTAGGAATGGGCGTTTCAGCCCTCTGTGGTTGGTAATCTAGGCCTGCCCTGTCCCACGACAGGCCCTGATGTGCTGCCATTGTCTGCCACTGCGCAAGGTGTGCGTTTCCAATGTGCCAGGGAGCTCATGGACCGGAGGTGGCATGTCAGTTCCTTGGGGGTCAGCACAGCGCTTCCCCACTGAGGTAGGCAGGCAGAGCCTGGAGGAGCGGTAAGGACTGAGCGTTACTCGCTGATCAGGCTCCTGGCTTAGAACACACCTGACTAGGCAGCCAGCTGGATGGGACTGGGAGGGGCAGGAGGCTGCTGGATAGGGCGGGATGGCACAGTTGCTCAGCATGGTTGGGGACCATTTCTCTAGCATGAGGTCAAACCTGCTGCATACCTGCAGCCCTCTCATCACCATCTCGTGCTGCTGCTGTGTGTTCATGGCATGGCCCTGGTGGGAAATGCCCCTGTCACCATCCCTGTTAACCCAGCCCCACGCTCCTGCCGTCTTTAATGCCAGGCGAGTCTATTTCTGCCCAATATGTTCATTTAAAATAAAAGCTTTGGGGCAGCAGGTGAGTTCTGTGTTTGTGGAAATGCCTGTCTGGGTTCGGGGGCTGCTGGGGAACAAGGCACAGCGGCAGAGGGGATTGGGTTGCAGCCTCTCACTTCTAGGCTGCCAGGCTGAATTCAGGCCAGGCCAGCAGTAACTGCAAACCTTTGCTCTTGGGTGGCTGTTCAGAGGCCTGTGAGAGGCAGGTGTCCATAGAGCTCCTAGCTCTCCTCGGTGCTCAGCTTAACTTCTGTGTATTGGGATCTCTGGGTCTTTCCGAGCAGTGGGGCAAGGAGGTTGGAGCTCCTGGACACCCTGCAGCGTTAGGCCCATTGACCTGATCCTCAGACACAACATGTAGGGACTTGTTTGATGTGAACAAACACCCGTCCTCCTCGTGCAGTGTTCATGGTGATGCCAGGACAGTGAACTATCCCAGGGCGATTGAAGCCCTGCAGTTGGCTGGAGAAGCACGGCTGGTTGGCTGAGTGCTGCTCCTGGGGCTGGGATGAACGTGTCCTAGTCAGCTCGGCAGAGACACTGTTTAAGTGATTGAAAGTGTGGCTGAGTCTGGTGCATTGGCATGGCTGGGGAAGGAAAGGGGGGAGCTGCAAACTCCCTGTGGATCAGCCTCTTGTACTGCTGTAAAGTAGCCTAGCTACCTCCTAAATGCAGCAGGGTTAGCGTGCAGTGTGGTGGCAGGGGTGCAGTGCGCTTGCTCCAAAGCTGCTACCTCCCTTGCTCTCAGGTGCCTCTTGTTCAGTTATTCTCTTCCCATGTTTTACACCTGCATAACTCCTGTTTGCTGGTCCTCACTGGAAATTGCAACTGCTCCCCACGTAGTATTCTCTGAACACATCTGCTCAATGTGCAGCAACAGTCAGAAAAGTTAACAATGTTAGGAGCCATTAGGAAGGGGATAGGTAACAAGACAGAAAATATCATATCGCCTCTATATAAATCCATGGTACGTCCACATCTTGAATACTGCAGGCAAATGTAGGCACCCCATCTCAAAAGAGATATATTGGAAAAGGAACAGAGAAGATCAACACAAATGATGAGGGGGATGGAACAGGTTCTGTATGAGGAGAGATTAATAAAACTGGAACTGTTCAGTTTGGAAAAGAGACGACTAAGGGGGGATATGTTAGAGGTCTATAAAATTTTCACTGGTGTGGAGAAACACAACACAAGAACTAGGGGGTCACCAAATGAAATTATTAGGTAGATTTAAAACAAATACAAGGAAATATTTCTTCACACAACACACAGTCAACCTGTGGAACTCCTTGCAGAGGACGTTGTGAAGGCCAAGACTATAACGGGGTTCAAAAAAGAACTAGACAAATTCATGGATGATAGGTCCATCAATGGCTATTAGCCAGAATGGGCAGAGATGGTGCCAGAAGCTGCGAACAGGTGTCGGAGGGTTGCTAACTTTCCCGGTTTTACCGGGAGTCTCCTGGAATCGGGAGGCTACTGACACCAAACTAAGAGATTTTTAGGCTGCCAAAAGTCTGGCGATGCAATGGGGCTAAGGCAGGTTTCTTGCCTGCCCTGGCTCTGCACCACTCCTGGAAGCGGCTGGCACATCTCTGTGGCCCCTGTGGGGAGGGGGCAGAGGGTCTCTGTGTGCTGCCGGTGCCCCGAGCGGAAAGTGTGGCCAATGGGAGCTGGAGGGGTGGTGTTTGCGGTGCAGGCAGAGTGTGGAGCCCCCACCCCCAGGGGCTGTAGAGACATGCTGGCCGCTTCTGGGAGCGGCGTGGGGCCTGGGCAGGCAGGGAGCCTGCCTTAGCCCTGCTGCACTGCCGACCGGGAGCCGTCCCAGGTAAGCACCTCTCAACTGGAGCGTGCACCCCCAACTCCCTTCTGCACCCCAATCCCCTGCCCTAGCCCTGAGCCCGCTCCAGCAGCCAAAATCCCTCCCAGAGCTTGCATCCCGCACCATCTCCTGCACCCCAACCTCCTGGCCCAGGCTCAGTCCGGAGCCCTCCTCACACACTCCGAACCTCTAAGCCCCTGCCCGGAGACTGCACCCCCTGCTATACACCAACTCCCTATCCCAGCCTGCTAAAATTAAGCGAGGGTAGGGGAGAGTGAGCAACAGATGGAGTGTGCAGGGCGGGGCCTCAGAGAAGGGGTGGGGCAAGGGCATTTGGGTTTCTGTGATTACACAGTCGGCAACCCTAGTGATGGGATGGATTCACTTGATGATTCTCTGTTCTGTTCATTCCCTCTGGGGCACCTGGCACTGGCCACTGTCGAAGACAGGACACTGGGCAAGATGGGCCTTTGGTCTGACCCAGTGTGGCCATTCTGATGTTCCTAGGAGGCTATTAAGAAGATTGCTAGCCCTGCTTCCCGAGATACCACAGGTAGTAGCTTTGCCCAGCCCAGCACATTGCCAGTTCTCATACCTTTGATTAGTCTTTCAGCCAGGTCCAGCCCACGTGCCACTTAGGGTTGCCAGGAGTTTGATTTTCAACTGGAACCCCTGGGTGAAAAGGGACCCTGGTGGCTCTGGTCAGTCCAGTCAGTGGTGCAGCAGGGCTAAGGCAGGCTCCCTACCTGCCCTGGCTCCGCGCAGCTCCTGGAAGCGGCTGGAATGTCCCTGCGGCTACTAGGCTCAAGGGCAGCCAGGGGGGCTCCGTGTGCTGCCCCCACCCTGAGCACCAGCTCCGCAGCTCCCATTGGCTACTTCACCTGCAGCTCTCTTCTGCTGCCTGCTTCCTGGCTTTATACCAGCCCTGTCGGTTCTGTCTCGGGGGGGCACCCTCATCAATCAGCCTATCAGGTTAATTGACCTAATTCAGTGATACTCAGACCTCAGTGGTTCAGGAGCCAAATTAGCCATCAGCATTACCCAAAGAGTCACAGTTGTGTGAATTCATTGTTTCATTTACTATAGTGCTATATATACTATAGTCCTATTTAAACAGTATGATGGAAAGATTTAGTTTATATACATAGGAACCGACTCTGTGGGTGCTGCAGGGCTGGAACACCCAAGGGGAAAAATTAGTGGGTACTCCGCACCCACTGGCAGCCAAGCTCCCTGCCCCGCCCCCACCCCTCCTCCTCCCCTGGGCGTGGCATCCCCGCTCCTCCCCGTCCCAGCGCTTCCTGCCTGCCGCCTAACAGCTGTTTGGTGGCACTTATGCCTTTCCGGGAGGGTGGGGGAGGAGGCGGTAAAGAGGCGGGGCAGGGACTTGGGAGAAGGGGGGGAATTGGGGCAGGGTGAGGGTGCAGCAGGGGTGGGGCCAGGGGCAGGGTGGGGGTCGAGCACCCACGGGGCAGAGGGGAGTCAGCGCCTATGTTTCTATAGATATATATATTATTCCTACAGCAAAATGACTGACCAAGTATTATTTTATCAACAATTGGTTAATGACACAGTAGAAGTCTCCTGACTGGTTAATAACTTAGACTGGTGACTAATTCAATCCCATGTTGTTTTAATATCACGTGCTGCAGCGGGCGCCAGGAGACGTTAAAGAACCACTTGCAGCTCAGGACCCTCAGTCTGAGCATCACTGGTCTAACTCAACCTGCTTGGCCTTGTGTGGAGCAGGCCCCCCATCCCACTTCCAGAAGCTGGTGGGAGCGAGACCCGGACAGTCTGCAGCAGGCGTGAGAGAAGGCCAAGCACCTTCCACTCCTGCTGGCTTCCCCGTCTTCTAAATGGCGAATGGGAGCCAAAATTACTGACACTGAAGTACATGAGAAAGCAAAATTGTCAAGTTGAATTATTAGTTTCCACCACAGACGTCTCCGTTGGCTAGGACACCTGCCCGCATGGACGCTTTCCAAAGGGTCTCCTGCATGGAGACTGTGCCCGTGGCCCAAGGCCACAGGGCCAAACTTGCCTCAGGTTTAAGGATGTTTCCAAGAGGGACTGGAAAACTTTCAGCATCAGCACGGCCAGCTGGGAAGACGTGGCAAGACACAGGCCGTGCCGCACCCACGAGCCACAGAGGGCGTCTACAGAGCAAGTTTCTGAGCCTGGAGCTCCTGCCACGGCGCTAAAAATAGCCACATAGGCTTGGGCTTGGGCTGGAGCGTGGGCTCTGCACCCACCATGCCTCCCTGGGGTTCAGAGCCCCACGTCTATAGGGCTATTTTTGGTGCCACAGTGCGAGCCCTGCAAGCCTCGGACTACCCGTGGCAGGGGGTGCTGCTTGCTGTGTAGACACACCCAAAGAGGCTGAAGAGAGGGGAAAAGTAAACAGGAAAGCGCAGCAGGCTGCAAGGGCTCTTGGTGTGCCAACTTTATCTTCCCTCCCTGCGCTTCACTCCCGCATTACAGGCAGCTGTCACGCGAGAGTCTGTGGTGAAGTTGGAGCCATGTTGGCCCCAGGATCTGAGAGAGGCCGGTGCGGGAGGTCATGTCTTATTGCATCAAAGCTCTCACCAACCGAAGTTGGCGAACTCACTGACTTGACCTCCCCCACCTTGTCACTCAAGAACTGGACATTTTAGGTACTCGCGATGCTGCCGCATGACACACAGTCACCCAGCTGCAGATGTGAACGGTGCTGTACAGTGGGTACAATGGACCAAACAATGAATAGTGCCCCAGCCGTGTCTCAGCGCCGAAGCTGGTATCGTGAGCCAACACCAGCCATGCTGGGTGCTCGTCTCCATGCCCTGCTGAGCCCTGTTTGCCCTGTACACACCCCCGCTCCTGGAGAGACTGGGGTTAATTTGATCACTTCCCAGTGCTGTGGCTGGCCAGCCAGCTGGGGAACCTACTGGCTCTTTATTGGTCCCTGAGAACAAAGGCCCTTCCTCAGAGCTGTCAGCCACCCCCTCACCTCCCCACCGTCCCCTACAATAGGAGGGTTTGGGTCATCTGAGAAAAGGAGCCAATGGCAGCTTCCCGCTACCCTCAACTCTGGCTGCTTTTTTCCCCCTCCAGAGCAAACCTTTGAATTGCTCTGGCCCTTTGGATTGTCAGGGCCCCCAGCCAATCCTAGGGCCGCAGACCGTCCATGCCTAGCACAGGCAGGACTCAACTGTCAGC